GGCGATGCACTGTTCACATCTGTGGAATAGCGCAACATCTAGCGCAAGGGCTGGAGCGGAAAAATCAACACAACTCCAGCGCATAGCGCAGGGTTGGAGTTGATCTTACAGTGCAACTCTAATTATTTATTGGCAAAATTGCACTCCACATCACGACTTTATCGACTTTTACACTTCTGTCACAATTTTGGGACCTTGGCAATTTGATACCCAACCTTTGGTTTTTTTTGGAAGACCAAGCATTGACTACCTCGCCGGCCGACAGATGTCATCTTGTCCGGCAACTTATCCAACATGGCACTGACGTGGAAGACGTGTCTCAGGCCAAAATGACGTGCCATCCAACGACGTCGTTTTATCATGTATAAATACCAAAAAAAAAAACAAATCATTTATTACATTAAATCGAAATCGAAATCAAAATCGAAATCAAAAAATCCCTAATTCTCATTCTCTTTCTTCGACCAAACAGACGCCCTAACTTCCTAAATCGAAATCGAAATTGAAAAATCCCTAAATCTCATTCACTCTTTCCTCGACCAAACAATCTTTCGAAGGCTTGGACAATCCAAAATTTGTGTCGACAGATCCAAAAGTCGTCGAAGAACCCTACAAGTTCTCGACAAATTCGAAATTTCTGAAGAAACCTGAAAATTTGTACAGAAAAGCCTTCAAACAATGGACTTGTGTGTTTGTTTCACTTCCTTTCGAAGCTCCACTGTTGGTCGAGCTACTTGCCATGTGTGGAGGGAGGGTCGAGATAGAGATTGCAGTGATTTTTTGGAGCTGAAGGAACAATTTCTTTTCGCAGGGTAGAGGGAGGGTCACAGGGTCACAACAAAAATTAGGGATTTCATGAATTTTGGGGATTTTTTGGTATTCATAAGATGTTTTTTAAAGATGAAACGACGTTGCATTGATGAGTTGTATATTTTGGCCTGAGACACGTCCTCCACGTCAGTGCCATGTTGGATTAAGTTGCCGGACAAGCTGGCATCTGTCGGCCGACAAGGTGGTCAATGCTTGGTCTTGCAAAAAAACCAAAGGTGGGGTACCGAATTGCCAAGGTCCCAAAATCGTGAAAGAAGTGCAAAAGTCGATAAAGTCGTGATGTGAGGTGCAATTATGCCTTATTTATTTTACTAGTGTGGACTCGGTTGTGCACGCATAGCTGGTCCTAGTCCAACCTATAATTATATTTTATAATTGTGAAAATTTTAAAAGATAGTTACCCACATTTTATGGCATTTTAAAATTTACATTCGAATAATTTGATATCAATCCATAAGAAATCAAGTTAAAGTCAATTTATTAAATTTTTTATTAATTTATAAAAACGTTAACATCTTTTTTAATTTGTTTTGTGCCTTCTATAAATGTAGTTTCAAATAGTCTAAGAACATTTGCCTTCGTCTCCTTCCTCTGCGAATAAGAAAAACCCGTTCGCTACCTTCAATCTCTCCGCGTTGCTCCGCCTTCCTCAGCAACGACGAGGCCACGACCAATGGTCGTCGTGGACAACGCGGCCTAACCCCTGACGTCGCCTGCCTCTAATTTCCTGAGGTGTCACTACAAGAAATTTAAGAAAAAATGACGATAAATTTCGTCATGTAAACCTTATTTTTTCGTCACAAAAGTAAATTGATGACGGATTTTTATCGTCACAGTGATAGTCACCGTAGCCGCGTCATATTAGGTCTAAGTGACAAAATTTGAAGTTGTCACCAAATATTTCACTTTTAATGACGTTTATAACTATCGTCATGTTATTTGGTCATCTTTCATGACGATAATATCGTCACGTTTATTATGTGAATTTTGTCATGTAAACGATTATTTTGTCATAAAAAGACAAGTTATAGATGACGAAAACTGAACTTTGTCATCTAAATATTATTTTTTAATGAAAATTTTTTGTATTATATCTAATTTATTGAATTTTAGTGACGAATATCTTTGTGGTGTTTTCGTTATAAAAATCATCATATTTCATATAATTCGTCATGAAATATTTATTTTATAATTACAAATATTGGTCGTCACAGAAAGAATTTAAATATGACGATAACAAAAATGTCACAAAGAAGTAGAAATAGTAATGAAATATTCATTGTCTCCAAAAACATACAAAAGCGACAAATTCTTTAGGCCCAATATAATGATGACAATATAAGTTGTAATGAATATGTTGGGCCCAAACTTATCTTATTAGAGAAAAATAAAAATAAAAATAAAGCCCAATCTACATGTCTTCTATGCCTAACTCACACTACCAATTCAAAAGCCCCATCCTTATCGAATTGTCAAACCCAATTAATTCCATTCCAATCATCACCATCAACTCACCCACAACTACCAAATCCAAATTGACCTCATCCTCATTCAATTTGTTATCCTTTTTGTTGTTTCTTCCTACTTCTCCCTCACAGTTCACGGTAAACATTCCAACACTGTAAATCAAACTCATGCATCTTCACCCAAATTCGGCGAACGGCAGAAGGACAGACAGAATCAGCCATCAGGCTCCGCGTCTGCCTGACCTCAGCGACGGCTCACGATACTCGGGGTCGGACGACGACAACAGACGAAGGACGACGGCTGTCCGCACGGGCTCGTCTGCGGCTACGCCTATGGCTTCAGGCTAACGGTGGCTACCTTATGTTTAATTAATTCTGTCTTCGGGTACGCCCGTGGTTTCATCTGCAATATTCGTGTATCCTGCTTGGTGTAAATGCGTATAACTGTTGGTGGTCTATATATGTAAAAATTTGGATATGGGGGTTACAATAAGATTTGTAATAAGTATTGATCTGAGAAGGAGGTAGAGAAGATGATACGCTAACAAATATTGGAAATTAGGGTACAATTCTTATGGAAAAAAATGAGTTTATCAAAATTTGATTGGCACAAAATATATGGAAGAGTGTGAATTTTCTTGTATTTGAGTTTTGGAGAAGAGAGGATGATGAAGATGATGAAGGGTGGCTGCTCTTTAGGGTTAAATGGAAGAGAAAGGCTTGGTCAAAATTTTTTTGGTAACCTCCCGGGAATCATGGCCGAGAGGATGGTCATGAGGAAGAAGGTGAAAGGAAACTTGGGGAGAATGATAAGGAACAATTTATCACATTGAAATCTTTTGCTCTTTTAATTTTTTTATTTCTTTATTCTGTACTCCTTTCCTTTAATTTGATTATCTTGATTACAATAAGAATACTAATTATGATAATAATGCTAATAATACTAACTTTAATTTCCTTTCTATTTTATTACTTACCTTAATTATCATTACAAGTGCTAATTATAATAATTATACTAATTGCTAGATGATGATGATGATGATGATAATAATAATAATAATAATAATAATAATAATAATAATAATAATAATAATAACAATTTATTATAATATTTTAAATCAATCATAATTATCAATATTATTACGAATTAAATATATTACTAATGATGGATTAAAATAAGAAAAAGTCTACTTAGTCATCAAATTTGTGAAATTAAATTATTTTACTTCTGTATAGTGATAAAATTCGTATTTTACGTTTTAACTAGTATTCAAGTATGCGTGCATTTGCATATATGTAATCAACTATTATAAATTATAAATATAATGTTAAAATTATAAGTTAGATAATGATATTATTTTTAAACTTAAAATAGTATAAGTTATATGTGTGCATATAATGTTAAAATTATAATTTAGATAATGGTAGTATGTTTTAAAAATTGATGAGCTCTTTCGAGCACGTGTTAGATTATGTTCAAACACCATTATCTTTTAATTGTCGAGTGAAAATATATGTCTGAGCTTGTTCATATAACTGTTGGATAAAACTCGATTTCAGTTGTGTTTCAATAATTGAGTAAAAGAACATTTTAAAATTATTTGATTAACACGAGACATGTTTGTTCGAACTCGTTCGAGGCCGAAAATAAAAAGTAAATTAAATTAAGTAAAATATATTTATATATAACTTCATATTTTAGATTTTCTTATTTAAATATCATGTGTATGAGTATAAAAATAAATTAAATTATATTAAATTATTGACTGTAAACATTATTGAACATTTGCGAATGAGCTCGTGTTTGTTCAACTATTAAACGAGCTTAGTTTCTTACGACCGCGAATATATGGCTCTATTGAACACGTACAAGCTTGAACAAGATTTTGCATTAACAAACCTATCTACTTCAAATAAATTATTTGCAGTTTGCTTTAATAATATAACGTGAAAAATATCTATGCGGAGCAACTTTGATTCTCCTGTGGGGAGCAGCTCTCATCTCGATTCTCCTGTGGGGAGCCTTGTAGTTTTTATTCGTGTTTTGTGTAGTAGTTGTCTTGTGAGTCTAGTTTTTGGTTTCTAGCGTTGCTAGAGTCGGTTTCTAGGCGGTCGTCTGACCAGTCCTCTCAGTTTTCTGTTTTAGGTTGTTTTTTTATTCTCCCGTTGGGAGCTTTGTATTTTTTTCGCACTTTGTGCGCTCGGTTTATTATAGTTCCTCTATCGTTCTGGCCAAAAAAAAAAAATATCTATGCTAAAATACTTTTAAAATCATTTTTCGGTTATTTTATGAGATATCGTCTATCGTTTAAGGGAAGAAAATATTCAAAACACATAACTTAGAAGTTAGTATATTGATGAATTTAGTATCATCATAAAACCAAATTATACAATGACGAAAGACTTGTAACCGTCATTTTAAATAAAAAATTACAACGATTTTTTTTGGTCGGAGAGAATTTCGTCATAAAAAATATTAATGTGTAAAATATAGATATATTAGAACTTATCTTCAGAAAAAAAAAAACTGTATAATGACGAATTTTTCGTTAGTGTCATATTAAATACGTATACACTAAAAACACAACGATTTATTTTCGCCGTAGTGACTTTCATCATGATATGCATTAATATGACGAATTTAGATGTATTATAATGTAGCGTTACAAAGCAAAGCTATATAATGACAAATTATACATGAGCATCATTTAAAAAAAAAAAAAAACAAAAACAACAATTTTTTTACGCCGTGGTGAATTTTGTCATAATATATATTGATGTTACGAATTTAGATGACTATAAATAATCGTCACAATAAAAAATTATATAATGACGAATTTTTTGTAAGCGTCATTTTAAATAAATAAAAAAAAACAACGATATTTATTTCGTCACACTAAATTTCGTCATAATATATATTATTGTGACAAATTTAGAGGTATTATAATGTATCATCACAATAAATAATTGTATAATGATGAATTAGTCGTAAGCGTCATTGTAAATAACAACAATAGTGACGACATTATGTTGGTCACATTTAATTCCGTCACATTTTATATAAATGTGACGAATTTAGATGTATATGTGACGAATTGAGGTGCATTGTCATGAAAAATACCATTATGTGACGAAAAGTAAATTCTAAGATGACGAATGTGGTAGTTGTCGCCGAATGAAATAATGTAATGACGATTTCTTAAATTTGTCACCATTAAGCAACATACGGTGACAATTTTTTTTTCTGTCACATGAATTTCGTCACTTTTTGGCAGATTTCTTGTAGTGTTTCTGCTCGAGATGGATTGTTCCTGCCCTAGGTCGTCGGTATTTTTACAATTGACGGTGGTAAGCTTCTTGATCGGTGATTGGTCAGCGATTGGTGGTGC